AATGCTTTTAAATGCTTTACATTTTTCATTTTGTGAAGTACATCGATTTACCTCCTGTATAAAATGCACTACATAAATAAAGGTGCCTTTCCTATTAAATTGTGCAATTGAATCAGAGTTACAGGAAAAGCTAGTTTTTTTTTTAAACAAAGCAAATGCTAGCTGTGGCGCTACACAACTTGTACCCCTCTTCTTATGAGCAATTCTTATGTCATATGTTCCTGAATTCAGCAGGGTTACCTAATGTCGCGTCTCTGTGTACACCCTAAGAGAGCTTTGCATGTAACCTGTAGCAGTCAGACTTCCAGGGAAAAAGGGACACAACTTGAGCCCTCTTACTAGCTCTGACACCTAAAGTCTTATGAAGGCTTGTTTGCATTTCAGAGCGACCCAGGTGCTTTTTGTAAAGCTGGAGTGCACTTGATGGTGTGTTGAAAGGGTGTCATATTTGGAGGTACTTAAGCATGCAGTGTTTTGTTGTCTCTTCAAAGTCATGTTCTTCAAATAAGCACGGCTTATTAAGTTGAGCTAAAGTTGCCAGGACACCTGTAGATGGATGGGGAAGTGATATGTCAAACGTCTCTTTTGTGTACCGCAAATAATATCAAAGAATCTCAGTTGTGGCGCACTCACGTCTCTCGTGTTTTTTTTTGAACATGCAAATACAAACGCTTCACACGTTTTAACTCAGTGGGTAGTGCAAATTCATTTTCTGGATGTATTTCTGGATGTGAAAGTGGAGCATCTGTTGTTTCAGGTCAGAGATGCTGGATTTAATTTACAACATGAAAATTGCGTATAGATTCACTGGTGCATTTGGTGAGAGCTGGACTGTCATTGAATTGCGACACTTGATGAGCACATATTTATAGGTGCGATTCAATTTGAATATTGTAAAAAAAAAAAAACTTTCAGTAGATTGATTCTAAATGTGAAACTCATTCAGCAGCTTCACAAAGTGAAATATTGAATGATTTCATTATTTGGCAGGTAACTTTAATTTTGATGCACTCAGCTTGCCCTTAATGTTGGCTCCATGCTATTTCAGAGAGCATCTGCTTAAATGAATTTATCCGAGTGCATGCCATTGATATTTACTTACCGTAATTGTATTGCTCAGATAGCCAGACACGTTCCGTGACGCGATATTTTGAATTTACGCCTCTATGTTTATTGACGCAACGTACCTATTGGCCATGACTGTTATTCTTCTGTGGTGGCATCACAAAAAGCTAAAGAAAAAGCAGAACACACTTGGACTGCTCATACTGCTCACTCTCGAGAGGTCACGCGAGTCACGTTTTTGTGTGACCCATAATTTGGTTGGCTGCATTGACTAAATTGGTTTCAACAAGTTCTGATGAGCACACACGGGCTAAGCACTGTGAATGGATAAGTGTCGCAATCTTCCTGAAATGTGAGTGAGGGGGATGGAAATCAAGTATTTTAAATCGAACTTACTTCTCCCAAATGGATCAACAGGTGTTGGATTTAAGAGGCAGAACAGCAGAAAGCGCAAGATGACTGTTTTGGCATTCCCCACTGGCAAGAAAATAGATGAAAAATCCATTGAGGAAGTGCAAGGCTCACGACATGAGACCAACAAAGCATATTGAAAAAAGATTACAGAGCAGTCCTTGAGATAAAACAGAGGATTGTAGCCTCCCACCGTACCTTGTCTCCGTGAAGGCGACCTGCGCGTGTTTCATCTTCATGCGGGGGCCCAAGATAACATTAGCGTCAGGGCCGTTCGAGCTAGCCTCGCTCCCCGATGGCCCGAGACATGTCAAAAAGGGCCGGCACAAGAGAACGGATGGCCGCTGGCCCTCGAGCCCTTCACTCATTCTCTAACTTGCTCACATTAAAGAGCGCTCTAATCACTGCGGGGACTTGGCCAACGATGTGCTTATCAAACAGCATATTTCAAAAAGGCATGTTAAAAGGCCTGAGGGCCAAGAGGCAATAAGAGCACATTTGTATGTGGATGAAAGGGAAAAGTGTAGACAGACCTTGCATCAGAATATGGAGAAGGGGAGAGATCATTAGCATCTTACGCGCTAGCAGGGAGGAGGAAAGGAAAAGGAGAGGGAGAGCGGTGTGACTGGGATGGGATAGGATGGGATGGCTGAGGGAGAGAGAGTGGTACTTTTACTCCCCGCTCTTCCTTTTTTTGTCTCACACACTTCCCAAAAAGAATAAGAGAACAAATACATTTTTGAACAAAGGCATCGCTCTTGATGTGAAAGCCCATTGGGGCGCGAGGTGGCTCCGCTGTGGCTTACAAAAACGAATTGATCCACGACGCAACTTTCTCCCCGAACAGAACAGGCTCAGCGTGAGGATGAGCCGCTGATCAGAGGGCGAGCACAATGATGGCCAACACGCTTCCCTCACGTACTTGATGTGTTGGCCGTCTATCCTCCGAGGGGTTCACTAATGGACTGTGACACATCAGGCCCCCAGCTGTAACGCGCACCAGTTGAAATGTTTGTCCCTTCACATGAAAAAGGCTGAAAGGAAACGCAGCCTGTTGTTCTCACAAAGAACGGCCTGCTGCTAAAGCAGCAGAATGGCGCTTTAGCAGCAACCGGAGACCGAAATAATTCCATAAACAAAGAAGGAAGCGACACATTTCTGCATTTTAAGCAAGCCACATAATAACGATTCAGGTCTGTCTATGAATGCTGCACGTGCTTCAGTCAGGTTTATATCAAAGCGCCGAGCCGAAATACATTCAAATGGGCTACGTACGATCTTCAATCAAGCAGCACTTATCCACTGCTATTTCTGTAATTTTGTTCCTGTGTACCAAGCGCAATATTGTACAATGGTACCTCCAACGTCATACAAACTCTGAGTTTGACCAAAATTTGGGGAGAAATATGGACTAAAGTCACATGTAATCTCAATGTTGAAGCATGATGTCATGCGAGACCTCAGCAAATCTTGTGAGACTTCAACGCCACATGTGTTTTGCTCTTTCTTTTGGCTTTTTGAGTTTTGCTGATGGTTATGAATATGTCTGAAGATATGAAAGCAGTAATTAAAAAAGGAAAACATTTTGAAAGGGAGCATCTGCCTATAAATAGTTTGACTGTAAAAACACAAAATCAGTTTCGACTATTCCCACTGGAAGTCATACATATATATATATATCCATCCATCCATCCATCCATTTTCCAATCCGCTTATCCTCACAAGGGTCGCGTGGGGTGCTGGAGCCTATCCGAGCCGTCTTCGGGCAGTAGGCGGGGGACACCCTGAACTGGTTGCCAGCCAATCGCAGATCAGTGCAGTATGTCCAGCATGGAGGCAAAAATCAAATGAAATGCGAACAAAAAAGTTGTGTCGGGTTAATGCCACAAAACTTGTTGACACAGCCATGAGCAGTTGATGAATTTATTCATCCAAAGAAAACCCACACACAGGGAACATCGAAATTTGCACAGATTCAAACCAGGCACAGCTCAATCCACTTCATGGACACCATTTTTGGAATCTTGAAACAACATCAGTACGAGCTCAAGTAAACTATTTGAAGATTCAATTGAAGCAGATGCAAATTACAGCATTAAGAACTAAATCCATTTTTATGTTATGGTAAGGCCTGTCTTTCATTATTTCATAACTGGAAATAAAATGAGTCTGCATTTTTATTTGCACTCCAGAAAATACATTTAACTAACCATTGGCAAAGTATTGGAGAAAAAAATAACAAACTCATCACCAATGAATGTGTTTTCCATTGAAGCCAAAATGGTGGCAGAACACACACGAGTGAGACTCACCTCCATATTGCTGAGATCAAGCTGTAGTAGTATGGTGGCCCGAGAAGGTCAAAGAGCAGAAGCATGCTTCCATGCTCTCCACATCGCCAAATCTCAACAGCGACGCATCGTAGCCGCTATGTATCTCGGTGCCAATTATGTACACGGTACACAGACACACACATGCTGATACAAACCCAGAGAACAGAGCAGACCCAATTTACAGGGTTAATTTGGGATCAGGAGACCAATTATCTTAATTATTTTCCATTTACCGCCATCAGCGTCATCAACTTGTTTTCCTGCTTCAAATTTAGCCGCGTTTGCATTTGTGACTTTCGTTTTACTTGATGTCACAACACTTCATTTCTCCAGAAACGAGGAAGGCTCTGGTCTCCATAGGTTTTTATTTAGGTAGACATAGAGGAAGTTGAAAATCATTGTTAAATGATGAACTCCAACTGTGTGCTTTGAATCGACAGGATGAGAAAAAAAAAGGACGGAGGAAGCCTGGAAAAATGTAACCATGTACATTTCAGCGCAGTCAAGATCCTCATTTTCTGCCAAAAACATTTTATAACAGCGTGAAGGGAAAAAAAAAGTGTTTTTTGGGGTGGGTGCGGGGGATTATATTGCTGGAAAGCGAGTGTGCAAAATGTATGCAACAGTTAGGGAGCATCTTGTGTTAATCTTAAAATCTTAAATTAAACTGCATTTTAGATAAGCTGTAGAATATCTTGGAGAGTACGTTGGATGAATCAAGATAAAATGCTCAGTGTTCATAGGCATGCGACTGTCATGCATGAGTCTTGTCGCTGTGATTGGGGACCAGCAAACTACATTCACGCTGTGTTTCAATAAATGAATGTAATGCAAGCTATGGACGCGCTTAAAAATGAATAGGTCGAAATAAGAAGGCCCCCAAAGAAATAAATATATGTATATTTATATTCACATTTTTATTTATATTTAAAGTCTGGGAGGATATCTTTTACACCAAATATCCCATTGGCAGTTAAGCGCATTCATTGTGTTCAGAAGCCAGGAACAGTCACTTGTTTCGACAAACACAAATACAAAATAAAGAAAACCACAAAATAATGAACTGCATGTATCGAACATACAAAAGAATCCCGTGCCTACTCAGTAGGTAACGTCAACATTCCGGCTTTTGAAGATGTGGATATTTACAGTTATAAAAATAGACTTTAAAATGTTCTCTTTCTCTCTCTGTTTTTTTTTTTTGCTTACATTCTAATTAAACGAAGCAATGCCCTCATCCCATTTTCTTCCCTTCGAGTGTGACTTACATTCTGTAACAAAAATATTCCCTCAGTCCTTAAGGCGAGATGCAGCGCATCCTCTCTCGCGCACGCAGCCGATTCACAATATCAGCAAGGCTTCACAAAAGGCACCAAATAACGGGAGCATTTGTCCTTTTTGTTGTGTTTTTTTTTCTGGCGGTGAGGAAATGCTCTTTTCTTTTACTTTTCTCTCCTCAACGATATGTCACATGTAAGAAAGAGAAAAAGAGTACCGGTGGATGATATTTACAAATAGAAACAACCATCACTCCTACTCATGCTTGAATACGCAAGTGCTTTTTTTTTTGTCCTTTTTCTAAATAAAACGTATCACAGCAGCATCACTACATAATAGAGAAAGTATGTAGAAATCGTGGCCCTGCTCACTTCAAATAATACAATGCAAATATGCAAATCATTTTCACATCAATAATATCAAAGAATGATAAGAACGAAAAATGGCACAAGTAAAATATACATATGGTAGCTTATGTATATCAGTCATTGTCTCTTGAACTGTATGCATGCCTACAAAGGGCGGATGTGTTTGAGCACTGCAGCTGTTGGCAATCTTCACTTTTTCTCTGTTTTGTTTTGTTTGTACCTGAGAGTAAAGAACCAACGGTGCTGGATCCATCTCTTTTTGTTCAGTCCTTTATGCATGTGAAGTGCTGCATTTGTTTGTCAAAGCTGTGGCAGAAAGGAAGCAAATCCTTGCCCAGTTCTTGACATGTGTCCTTTTCTCTCTGGTGGGATTAAAAAAAAAAAAAAAATCTCAGGATTGACCCAACACTGCACAGAGAGCAGTCACAAAAGTGCTTCTTTTTCTTTTTTTTTTTCTTTTTTTTTGGGGGGGGGGGAGCGGGGGAACAACAGTCTCTGGAGTCTTTAGATGCTGTCGCGCATCTCTTCAAATGATCCATGGAAAGCGATTTTAGCAGATCTCGATTGTCCTTGGGGAGAGGGTGGTCTGCAGGTCTGACATTGGGGTTGGCACAGGGGAGCTGTAGAGGTTGGAGGCGACGGAAGAAGGGAAAGGAGAGGCCACCTGGGAGTGGAAGGTGCTCGACATGGACACTGAAGGGTAGGTGGTTGCGATCGAGGGAGACGGATAGGATGTGTGAGCTGGAGACGAGTAGCAGGAAGTGACAGGGGACGGGTAAGAAGACACTGGGGAGGAGTATGAAGTGATGGGCGAAGGGAAGCTCGAGGCAGGCGAGGCGGCCGACACAGGGGCTGACACAGGCACCGCCGCCGCTTTCTCTGCCTTCTTGTCCTTCTGCCGCAGGTGGATCTTCGTGTGCCTCTTCCTCTCGTCGCTGCGAGCGAACTTGCGTCCGCAGATATCGCAGGCGAAGGGCTTCTCGCCCGTGTGCGTGCGGATGTGCGTCGTCAGGTGGTCACTGCGGCTGAAGTTGCGCATGCAGATGCGGCACTGGAAGGGCTTCTGGCCCGTGTGGATGCGAATGTGGCGCGTCAGCTCGTCGGAGCGCGAGAAGCGGCGGTCGCAGGTCTCCACCGGGCAGGCGTAGGGCCTCTCGTGCGGGGGCGTCTTGCTCGGTCGGGTGGGATACTTGCGCATGCGGCTGGGCTTAATCAGTTGAGACTGGTAGACACTCTTGAGGTCTTGAGAGCCCGTCTGAGTGGCGAAGGCCTTGATGGTAGACAGAGGGGTGAGAGAGGGCTGGCTTGACTGACTCTGGAACGGCTTTTGGTCAGGTGGCACCAGGCTGATCTCTCCCTGCTGCTGTGGGAACAGGTAGTCAGGAATCATGGGCACGGGAAAGCTCGTGCTGCACGTTTTACTGTTAGGGTAGGCAGGAGGAGGGTACTGCCCGCCTCCATTAGAACTGGGGAAGGCTTGGCCCTGGTCCGGAAAGATGTCTGAGTTGGGGTTGGAGTAGGTTGGGGCGGCTGAGTAGATGGGGTTAGGCTCGTTGTGGTGAATGGAGGACGTAAGGCTGGAGCTCTGTGACGAAGAGGAGGTAGAAGAGGGCGAAGAGGATGAAGTTGGGGCGGATGAGGATGAGGAGGATGAGTTTTGTGAGTTTGCAGATGAAGTGCTCGAGCTCGCGGGAATGTTGCCCATCAGACCAGTGAACAGGCCCAAAATAGGCTCCGCCCAAAGGCTGTTGCTGCAGGTGGTGGCAGTTTCGAGAGTGAAGCGACCCGTGTAGGAGATTGGAGGCAGTCTTGGAGTGGGGTACGTCTGCTCCCCAACTGTCTTCTCACAGTTGAAGGCGATGTCAGGGAGTGTATCTGCCAGGAGAAGAAGACACGACATTACTCAAAGTGTCAGAGGCAACAAGTCAAAGTTGTATCCACCAATTTTTTAAAGATAACTCTCACAGCCACTCCAAACCTCCGTTCATCTCCATCTCTTTCGAATCATCTTTCATTTCACTACTTTCCTTTGCTCTACCACAGCTAATTCAGTTTGCACTATTTTGTTTTTCCTGTTCGTCACAAATGACACACTCACACACACACACACACACGCACACACATTATTGTACACAAACGCACATTTTCTTAAGCCAATCACAGCCTGGGGGTGATGATTTACGGTAACTGCAGCTCAACTGGTTTTTGGAATGCAATTTTAATGGAGCAATTAAAGTGTTTGTGGAAGCAAGCGGTAACATAGAAGTGAACTAACAATTGGCATCGAGTCGGACACTTTGTCACTTAACCCGTCGGGCAGTTCTATGATAACATAAAAAATAAAATCTAGAGCAGCTGTTGCCGGAAAAGTCACATGTATGTATATAATAAGTATTACACAAATAATATATTCTTAATGTCAGACAAAGTTGATACAAGTAATTCAATGAACACTAAAGAAATATGCAACATAAACAGCACAATTCCAATGCACTTACTCCGCCAACACAAGACATGACACGGTGAATTTCAACAAGCAGCCCTCTTACCCCCAGCAAGGTGGTCGTACTGCTCCCCTGGCTCCCCGGAGCCAAAGCCGGCACCTTCGGGCGCGGATGCCGTGAGGAAGGGTGTCCCCGCAGAACTAAGCATCATCACCTCCTCCAGCTTGGGGTAGTTATCCATGGGTGAGTGAGGGAAGCTCAGAGGCTCCGAGATCTGCAGTGCTGGGAGGAGCATCTCAGTCTTGGCTGCAGCCATCCTCTTCTGGTGCCGCTCGAGCTGTTGCAGGGCTGAAGCTGGAGCCTGGAGCCCGGTGACCGAAGAAGCGTGCAGACCGGCTGTCTGCTGCACGCTGGTTGAGCGCAGGTAAGAAGATGCTGTGCTCAGCCTCGTTCCTTGCCTTCCGTGCTCCGCGTGTTGTTTTGTTTTTCTTCTCTCTTAGAGAGGAGTAAAAGATCCAGTTGTCTTTTTAGTTAGTTGTTTTTTAGAGAAAATCCAAAGTGTCCTTTTAACTCATTTGTAAAAACAAATAAACCAATTGGGTTTTTTTATATATACATACGTATGATAATAAACTAGCTTTCCAGACAGGTATTAACCTTCTTGGATTGAATGTTTTTTGTTGACTTTTGTACTTTTGGTGCGATGTTCTCAGTTTGGGAGTGCTATGTGTTTCCCTATCTGCTCTAATGCTTGCTCTTGTGGGCTCTCAGTGCTGTCTCTGAGCGGAAAGGTTTCCCGCAGAATATAAACCCTCTCTCTCTGTGACGTAGATGTCCATATTTGGGGAGGAGGAAGCCCATATTTAGTCACTGCGGTGGAGGACACGAGACGCCGGCCAGGAGGGAGAAGAAGAGCGCGCAGAGACTCCAGCGGTAAATTGCAAAGACAACGCAGCTTTTCGATCAATGTGTCTTCAATTTGTAAAAACTCCCGAACACAGCAGTATAACTCTCGCTCTTTCCCCGGATGCCAAAGCTTTCATTTGGATTTCCCATCTGTGCAGCAGGCAGCCTGCGCAGCTGCCGGAAAGCCCCGCTCAACCGCGCCTTATAAGGTCATGACCACATAAGGACTGGCTCCGGTGGGGTTCCAGTTGCCTGCCCTTATTTGGGACTTCCTGAGGCGGCGCTGTTTTGGCACGGAGGGAAGCTGGAGAGTAAAATTATGGCCAGAACGCTCAATAAGTCATGTCAGCTGCCGAGTCCCGACTCTTCTGATTTATTTTCATTTAAAGCTCCACTCGTTCAGGAGGACTAATGCACTTCGTGTGAATATGAGGAATGAAATGTATATTTGGCAAGATTTAAATCTACAAAATAGTATAAACAATAGGAAGAAGGACAACCTACATAACATACATGTCTGCATGCACTCATACATACGTTAAGGATATGTCGAAGGTATTCCCTATTGTCTGGACACACCTCTGCTCTATTTTAAGGTATTCATCCTCTCTTTGCTCTTTGCAAAGATACTGACAAGAGGAGAGGGTCCATCAGGCAGACGTGTGTCCCTTGCTCAACATTGGGACCATCTGTCTGCCACTCAACACCCTAATGTGCCTTGTCAACAACACAGCGAGAACGCATGCGAGAAGCCGTGCTCCTCCAGCTGTAGCTTCAGTGCCGGGCAGTACAGCAGCACTGCTCCATGATGAGGAAATCAGTGTGTTCCCTTTGACTGGCAGAAAGCTTACTTGGAAGTATGACAGAAGAATGCTGTGCAAATTTTGATTCAGGAATATGCCCACGCCATGCACACAGATTACAACCTACAAGCGACCACTACCATCCACTGTTCCTCCCAACTTGGTTGGCACATTGGATAAAAAAGTGGAGAGAAACTCTACACACCACTATTTAAATACCAGGTTAAAAAAAAATAGACCAAGATACATTATTTATAAACGATTTCTATGTGTGCCCTGCGATTGGCTGGCAACCAGTTCAGGGTGTACCCCGCCGACTGTCGGGAGACAGCCAGGATAGGCTCCAGGACGTCCCGCGATGCTTGTGAGGATATGTTGATCAGAAAATGGATGGATGGAAGATAAGGTGGTAACAGTGTGCATTGTTTCATAACTGCATATGTGTCTGTGTTCAGAATGAACCAATCACATTCAGACTTATGTGACACCCGCCACCATTAAGTGCCTCTGATTGACCGCAAATCAAGTTCAGCTGTTGAAAAAGTCTTTTCGCTCTCTGTTTACTTCTATCATCAACAGTATTAATGATGATTTCGAGCACAGACTGACCAAATCCCAAATAGGCACAAAGTAGAGGGTGGAGCTGGAAAATGTGAAATGTTGTTTATTTGTGTGGTGAGATTTTGATGATGGTGCTGAGCATCAGTGAAACTCAAGTCCAATGTTTATTTTTATGTAAGAGGAGTGACATCTCTCTTCAAAGGTTGGAAGTTAGGGATGGAAAAAACGCAAGTCGGGACACGATGATGGAGAGTTACACAACACAACGCATCATGCGTAGGGGAGGCGATGACACAAAACCCAAACTCCCGCCTGCATCCTCTGCTGCCTTTGGCCGTAAGGTACGGTGATCATTATATTTGTGGCACAGTGAAGAGGATGGAGTGCCGAGAGCAGATGAAAGAAGTTATCATTTGGTGACAATGTAATAAAATCAAGTTGTGGGGAAACTGTGGCAAAAGCAATAAAGTAATAAAGATGATAAACAGTCGACAGTGCTTGTCTGAGCCTCCCTTTAGTCTGATGCATGAAGGTGAAGCCAAATGCTGGCAGGGCAACGTAGACGAATCAGACTGTGTTGTGACAGAAATACTCATTGTAATTTGGTACGGTTACGTGTGGATTCTAGACAGCTAGTTTATTTTACTGCCCACACAATTAAGTCAGGGAAGTTCTCGTTTGATGAAACTGGATCAGGCTCTCCCATTACAGTACCCACAAGCCACACCCCTCATCACAGACGTACACATACAATTCACACAAGTGCTCTATAATAATCACCTGCTGTGTTGCAATTATTGGGGAACCTTTAGATGTAATGGAAAGACGTTGAGGTTGTTCAATTCCTTCTTTTGGCTTTTTAGCAACATTTGGAAGCAACACCAAACTCACCATTATGACATCACCTAATACCTCACAAAACCTCAGTGAATACTTACTTGTGGATGGGTTTATTTTTTAGTCTTTATGTCTGATAATTGCGATGCTTTTCAGGTTTAGCCGCAACATGGATTGCTAGCATAAGCCTAAGCATAAGTTATGTGTTGTTGTCAGGGGTGTAGCCAGAAAACTTTCAGTGGGGTAGCCACGGTGACACAACGCCTCAGTGAGGGCTGGCCATGTATTTATCTCACATTCCTTATGATAAACAATGACTTCATGGCCATGTTGTTGGCTTGTTATGGTCTGAAAGTAGTTATTTTGATTGACATTGGCTGTAAGACTACTGCATCCATGTGAAAAGGGAAGAAAAATAATCAATAATATCAACATCATCAGAATTTTCCCCTAAGTGTGGGGTTTCCAGGGGGTTGGCCACAGAGTGACAAGGGGGGACCATGATGGCCACGATGTAGCTCCGCCACTGGTTGATGTTCACACTGATTCAGTCGTTTTTTGTTGTTTTTTTTTTTTCCAAGTGTAAGACATCAAAAATTTTTCAAATATTACTTACGACATTGCATGTACAGTCAAAGATGTTATGATGACAAATCTTTGACCCTTTTCTCTTCCCCATATTCCTATATACCGTATTTCCTGTAGACAAATGGATGGTGCTGGACCTTAAATCATCCGCTGTACAGACAGTTCAAGTATTAAAAAGAAGAAGAGATGAGGAGAAACCTAGCACTCACACACATTACGCGGTAGCGAATGTCATTTGTTTGGGACTGTCAGCAGGGAGACAGACACACTCCTGCTCATCTTCATCATACCTCCTCGCCTCTTGCTCCACCCGCACACAAACCGATGGCCTCACATTCCTTATGATAAACAATGACTTCATGGCCATGTTGTTGGCTTGTTATGGTCTGAAAGTAGTTATTTTGATTGACATTGGCTGTAAGACTACTGCATCCATGTGAAAAGGGAAGAAAAATAATCAATAATATCAACATCATCAGAATTTTCCCCTAAGTGTGGGGTTTCCAGGGGGTTGGCCACAGAGTGACAAGGGGGGACCATGATGGCCACGATGTAGCTCCGCCACTGGTTGATGTTCACACTGATTCAGTCGTTTTTTGTTGTTTTTTTTTTTTCCAAGTGTAAGACATCAAAAATTTTTCAAATATTACTTACGACATTGCATGTACAGTCAAAGATGTTATGATGACAAATCTTTGACCCTTTTCTCTTCCCCATATTCCTATATACCATATTTCCTGTAGACAAATGGATGGTGCTGGACCTTAAATCATCCGCTGTACAGACAGTTCAAGTATTAAAAAGAAGAAGAGATGAGGAGAAACCTAGCACTCACACACATTACGCGGTAGCGAATGTCATTTGTTTGGGACTGTCAGCAGGGAGACAGACACACTCCTGCTCATCTTCATCATACCTCCTCGCCTCTTGCTCCACCCGCACACAAACCGATGGCGTAACCCCTCCATTAGCAATCAGGTGTGCTGCAGCTTTTGTGCCAAAATTACCAAGTAGAATAGCTTAAGTTCTTCAAACTCAAACATTACATAATACCCGGAGTGAGGGATGCAGAGAGACCGAAAGTGTCTGGACCTTGTTGTTGTGGAGCACAGGATGCAGTTGTGGCAAAATTGGATGGAGGTGGAGAGTGGCGAAATTTAAGAGGATAAATTCAATAAGGATCCTATGTTGGTGGCAGTGCGACACACCGGGGGAGTTGATAATTAAATAGCAGAGACCTGATTGTTTTGGGTTGAGTGATAGGCTGAATATTAGCTGGAGAGTAGAGAGCAGAGGCGCAGGGAACATTATCACAATGTAATTTCTCTGCCTGCTTTTGAAATGATGCCGGCCGGGCTCTGCTGTCTGACCTTTTATCACCGCAAACTGACCATTAGCCAAATGGATGCAATTGTCTGGGATCCCCCAGGTTTCCAGCCCCCTCCCCCAACATGTCATAAAACTGATTTAATGAAGTTTTATTTGACTCAAAGCAATTATTATTTCTTTATATTAATCCACACTCTTAAAAACATTGAAATGTTAAAACTATCACATTCGCTATTACTGCCTTCCCTTTTCACGCAAAAGAGGACTGCATTTTCTTACGACTCATGGTCAG